TGTTTCTAAACAATTTTTTTTCTTTTTTTTTTTCAAAATCTACTGTCAAAAAAAATGTCACATTGGCTTTAATAAAAATAAATAATTGATTAAACAATATAAAAAATTTTACGCTTGTATTTTATGTAGAACAATTACCTGGATGAAACGTCAAAAAAACTCATCTGTACACATCGGTAGAGATATATTCTTCTATATGATATAGCTACATGTGTGGGGAAAATCACATAACCCCCACTTCCCGCCACTACCCCTAAACCCCCCTCCCCTCTTCCACTCTACCGTCATCCACAAATCAAGGCAAAATTCATCTTATATCTTAGCCTCACTCGCTGACAGAACATGGAAACAGTATAATTCAGCCCTTAAGCTGTGATGGAATTTTTGCCAGTCTTGAGACAAGAATCCTTTCTTCACAGACACCCAGACGCTTTTAGATATCCTCACAATTTGCTTCAAGATGGGCACTGCTCACGGTGCATTAACCTCGCTCAGAGCTGCAGTCACGCTGATAAACCCGAAAAGTGCTGAGAAATCTGACCTTTTAGCAAAGTTTTTCAAAGGCGTGTTTAGATGTCGGCCCACAACCCCTAAATACTATTCGACCTGGAACGTAGGAACAGTTTTATTTAAGCTCGAAGAGTGGTCTCCTTCGGAGGAATTAAATTTACGACTTCTCACTTCGAAGACAAATATGCTTCTAGCTCTAGGCTCTGCTTTTAGGGTGCAAGCTCTAGCCCTTATTAAGATAGAGAATATAAAATTCTCGACAGATAAAGTAGAAATAAGAATCCCGGATCTCACAAAGACGTCCAGACCAGGAACAAACCAGCCCAGTGCTTCCTTTCCTATTTTTCAGAACTCCAAGTTATGAGTTTACCGGATATTAAAGCTCTATTTGAAAATGTGACGTTACACTTTCGCGCCCCGAGGCACTATAGGTAGTCGCAGCCAGGGCGGTCCCGAGACAACGTCCAAAGACACTTACACAGATCCTCTCGCCAAAGTCCGCCGTACCCTGAAACAAGAAAAACCCCTGTCTCCACGCTCACCATGTCCGCTGCTTGGCCCAGGAGATTCGTCCCTGAAGAGGTCCCACCGGCGGTAGTCCGTCGGGATCGGACTACTTTCCCAAGGAGAAACGAGGCGCGACCTGTAAATTCGGAAGGAAGGAAAAACACACGCACGACAATAGACGAGTTAAATGATTTTTAAGAATGCTTCACTTTATTTTTGGCGAACTTTTACACGTGGGCTTTTAGGCCCGAATCTTGGCGCAATCCGGCGCTATCGCAACAATCCGTGACAATCACGCTTTCCCCCAGACTCTCCCGTTCTCGCACTCCACGCTTCCTGGGGGCGTCCCGCACTACCCGATCCCCCGACACACACGTAAATACACACGCGCTCGCACACTCTACTTTACCCTTACCTCCGGGTTCACCATGTTCCGGGTCAAATCAACTATTGGCCTGCCGATGACCTGGTCTCGCAGATGACAGCTGGGGGTGGCGATGGTTCTCGTCTCCTCGTTCGTCGGTTGCAAGGTCGTTCCCGGCTGGCTTGGAAAGCTGATTCTCCGATCTTCTCTTTCTCTCTCTCTCGATCTACGCTACCGAAAACGCGAAAACTCGAAAAGCTCTGGTTCGCTCGAAGGCTACTGCAAGAGTGTCACGTTAGGCCCACCAATTAGTGCAGCCTCGCGAATTACCGCACTATATCTATATACATTCTTCTGACTCTTACAGCCAGGACATCATTTACACACACTCGAACGCGACGCAATTTATAGTAGATGCGCTTAATACGGATACTAAGGTATACATACAATCTTCGTCGATGGCGCAATACTGGATTAGCACAATGGCGTGGTAATTACAAATATTTTATAGTACGCCATTACACAGGTAGACCCTTATATCCCAAAACTACACATTCTTGGGCTTTTCTTCGGCGCTATGTCTTCTTTGCTCTCCTTGGCGTTACTCCTTGTATCCGATTACTCTCACGTAGAACATGAAACACACAGACCCAGACCTTTATTAGCTTCTTGTAAATCAAAATAGATTCAACCTTAATGACGCGTTTCGGCACTTAATGCTATACGGTCAGAGAAAAATGACTCCGTCATAAAAAAGACCGCGGCAGTCAGAGACTCAGCCAACCAGTTGCTTATCTCGTACCAAGCACCATATGCTCCGGCTAGTCGAGACATAGTTAGCCGATGGCTTAAGATAGTGCTAAAGGAGGCAGGAGTGGACAACAGTTTCACTGCTCACTCTACGAGGCATGCATCAACCTCGAAGGCTTATGAACAGGAGCTAAACATCAACGCTATTAGTCACGCGGCTGGATGGTCCGAGAAATCGAAGTTTTTCTTCAGGTTCTACAATAGACCCATCGAAGAGGCAGGCGGCTTATTTTCAGAGACGGTATTAGATGCCTAAGCATTTCTTTTTCCTAGCTCTAAAATAAATGAAGCCCTAAGGAGAGGAGCCTGTCGGGAGTAGACCAGCTAGCGTAGGCTAGTTCTTTTTTTTCTCTTAAAAGAGAAAGTCTCTGAATGGTGGCGCCATGTAGCGATGAAAAAGGGTACTACAAAATTATATCCTCGAACAAGGCAGTCGTATAATTGAGATTTAACTTCACAGAAGTTCGTTTAACCACCAATTATTGGGGTCTTACAGCAAATAGGACGTGTACGTAGGGATTCAGCCAGTAGCTAAATTTAGAAACCTGGGGGGAAGCCAAAGACAGCAAATCTACGTATTTCATAGATATCTTTAAACATCTTGAAAGTTAGGCATTTTATGGTAAGACAATGAAGCGTTAAGGTACAGAAAATTTAATCATTTCAGTGCTTTTTCATTCCATGTAAATCGAAGCAGGCATTTTCACATCACAGCAGTTGAAAAATTGAAAAGCCTGCAAAAGTATAATGTATATATAGCATATAGCCTATGCAAACGGTGCCGTCGGTGCGTCTTTCCGTTGTTTTTCTTTCAGTGTTGCGATATATATATGTTTAAGTAGAGACAACGAACAGTTGTTGCTTGAATTTATGAAACTAATAACAGCTGTAATGACAGAACGCCAGCAACGATTTACATGAGATAAAAAGGCACTTTCTAATGAAGAAGTTTGCCTATTGCCTTACTAGCTCAAAGCAGATGGCGCCAGGGTAAACCATCTCTGTCATGGCGACCCCTGGGAAGATTCAAAATGTATTGTTTCTAAACAGTTTTTTTTCTTTTTTGTTTTTCAAAATCTACTGTCGAAAAAAATGTCACATTGGCTTTAATAAAAAAAAATAATTGATTAAACAATATAAAAAATTTTACGCTTGTATTTTATGTAGAACAATTACCTGGATGAAACGTCAAAAAAACTCATCTGTACACATCGGTAGAGATATATTCTTCTATATGATATAGCTACATGTGTGGGGAAAATCACATACCCCCCACTTCCCGCCACTACCCCTAAACCCCCCTCCCCTCTTCCACTCTACCGTCATCCACAAATTAAGGTAAAATTCGTCTTATATCTACCTTATTTTAACCCAATAAATATTGAGTTCAGCCCCCTACTCCCCCCACACCGCCTCTCCACACGATTTTTCCTTATCCCCCACCACCCCCACACGATTTTTTCAATGTTTCAATGTACTTCCATTGTCAGCGTAGAATGGATAAAAAGGATGAATAATGAACAAGTCTGTACTGAACATAAATTCTAACGATAGTTTTAGTAACAATACAGTGGTGCTCTCTGTAATAAAATCAATTAGTAAGAATGTTTTCTTATAACGTAAAATATTGAACGAAAAAAGTACAAAATTTCATCTATTTATTAAATAATTTCAGATCAATAAGCTTACTTCAGTGTGAATGTTGTCCAAATGTTTTTGTAACTATGGAAAAATTAAAAAAAATAATAAATTTTTTGAATGTAGTATATGCAATGTATTTATAAACGAAAACATTACGTACGACACGTAAGAGAGCATACGTACACTAAAATTATATGTTGGCTTATCTTTTTTGATAAGATGAGTACCCAAGATATCGACACACCACTTATCCGAATTTTAAAACAAATAGTCAATTTTTCTGGTGATGCCTGGACCTCCAGGGGCTTTCTTTTCTATGGAAAGCCGACACCTGGCCAGCTCATCGGGTAAAGTCACTGTTGGGTATATAAAGGTCGGTACTGCGAGTTAGATAGTTTATTGAAAAATATCTTTCCATTAAACTATATCGTAGCTGGGATGTGCTTGAGACAATCGCTGCGCCCTGTAAATAGTACCCAGTAGGATTGATGACCGAGTCGTCTAAGGGGAACTTTCCAAGGGGTCTGCATGAAAGACTCGCATACTTGGGGGGGGGGAAATAGGATGGTAGGATGGTAATAACGGAAGAGACGAAGGAAGGTAGAAATTAAGGACATAGGATACATAACAACCCTGCAATGGGTATACGTTGGAATCTTAATACAATACAATACAAGATATATTTAATTATGCTTTTTAAATCAATTACATTTTATTGTCATTAAAAATTCTTGTTTTACCCTCTACGATATAACTTTTCGATAACTTATTGTATCTTAATAAAAGAAGAACAATACACGTTTTTCCACGTATACTTAATAGATAGTTATCTAATAATATCCATTGAGACATGATATGGAAAGATGGCTTAATACGAATGAGAGTGGATCATCTGCATACCCGGGTTTACACTTTCAATTGTAAGTATCGAATGAGAAAAATCATGGTTAAATGAAAATATTGTTTATTACGTCAATTTAAATGATGCACGATGAAAATATGAAAAAACTTAAACACCATTTAACTTTTTTTACTTTGAGCGCAACAAATTGACTTACTCAACATCCTTTTAATTTAATGATTGATTATCTTTGCTGTCTGTGTACACACAAGAGTATGTAACAACTCTTGTCATACTGGCAGTATCGTCGCTATTTTGGAAGGGAGCCATCATCAACTTAAAAACCATCTATTACTTAAAAATAGCATAAAAATAGATTGTGGGGGATGTGGGAGACTCTTGTCTACCCAGATTTTATTACATTAAAACTTTTTAGAAATAACTTAAGTGTTTCTTTATTTTTTGAGGGGGGGGGGGATGTAGGGAACCGTGATACACTTGTTGGGCTGAGAAGAAATTTATAGAAGGCACCACATGAAAACTTTTATAATACAGGAGGATACCAATTTATATATTCATGTATATGTATGACAGATTTTTGTCCAGCTGTAAGACATACATTAAGAGCTCGAGTTCAACCCTTATTTTTGTATAAGTCTTAATGGCGTATGAATTATTTTTCATAAGACTTAAGCAAACAAAGTATATTTGACTTTCTACTCTTCGAAAACAATATAAGAGTTTGGCAGAAGATCAGAGGTACTAAGGAGTAGCCGTGTAAAACACTGTTATACTATATTTTACTATATTTTAACAGTAGATTGTCACTTTCATAATTTCTCTCTTATACACTTCCAAGCTATATTTGCAAGTAGTCATTTAAGCATTTGTCATAAATAAATAATAAATATAATTAAAAAAAATTCTACATTTGTGGAAATGAAATTCTGAACAAAACTCAATAAAAGCCGCACAACACGTCAGGCTGCTCTTTAAATGCACATAAGAAAAATAACGTTCTTACAGAGCTTTACCTATTTTTGCCAATGGTGAAGATTATTAATCTTTCTTGCCGTCAAAGGGTGTTTTTACAAAATAAGTGGTCAGGGTACCCTTGCCCTTCACGTAAGTTGGTCCACGGCAGATAAGTTCGTAGCCAGCGTTCATAAGTACCTTAGCGGTGTCTTCGGTTACTTGGATTCGGCCCATTTCACCGCAACTGTCCATACGAGAAGCTACGTTGACCGTATTGCCCCAGATGTCGTACTGAGGTTTCTGGGCACCAACCACTCCAGCTATTACGGGACCATGATTTAATCCTGAAAAATGAGAAAAATTAGAGTTAATTTAACGGTTATGTTTTTTTGTGTTTTTTAATTGAATTAAATACACAAACATGTACCTATTCTTAGCTTAAACCGTTGAAACGAATCTTGATTAATTTGGTTGAGCAAAGTCATTAGGGATATTGCAAATTCAACGAGCACGACAACGTTGTGCTCTTGCATTTTATTCAAATTTATCTGAAATTAGGCCAATGATTACTGCTTTTTTAACCTATTCATGATCATTTGGGTACTTCAATCGTAATTACCAGTCCATCTCCATCTTCTTTTCCTGGACTGAGACCACAGGCAAGCATATAAGTGCTGCCGATTGTCTTGATTTTTTCAATACTCGAATATTTCGGCTTTAGTAGCAATTTGTCAAAATCGCAGATTATCTCGTTCAGCAACCTCAGACACTCAAGTCCTTGTTTGTTGATGTCTGTTTCATCGTAAAATTCTTTGTAGTTTGGTATCGAAGCAAACATTACGGCAATACAACGGTAGGTCTCATGATATAGATCCTAGTAATCAGAAGTAAAAACATAAATATACAGGGTGATCAGTAAGTACTTTAATAAATACTATTATTAATATTATTAGTAGTATTATTATTATTATTACTATTACTATTATTATTACCAATATTATTATAAGAGTATAAGAAGTATTACAGTTTACTGTTGAAAGTAAAGATCTACTTTCATCAGCTTATATTTTTACAAGAAACACAAGTCTAATCGAGACTATTTTTTAGGCCAGGCGCAAGTTGACATTAGCAATATATACCCCATGGGTGAATATTGAATCATTGCAATGAAAGAATAAAAGAGAATTGCACTGTTTGACACGACAAATAATTTTTTATTCTTACAACAAAACTCTATTGTGAAAAACTCTTAAAATAGCATAGATGAGCATTCCTTAGCGAATCACTAACATAACAATAGAGTTTTCATTCGAGACTAAAAAATTATTTATGATGACAAAAAGTGCTATTCTTTTTTATTCTCTACAGTTTAAAAAAAAAAGAATTTCTCGCAAATAGTACTGGCAATTGGTACGCCAAAAAGTATTCAGATAAGTCAGGTAGGGCTGTGTCATAGTTAATAAACTTATTTTCTGGACTAATTTATCTGTCCTGGAAATTTTACTCACATTCTCTCACGATGAGATGAATACTGGGGTAATACGAACTAAGAACATGCGAGTGTGCGAGTGCGTTTCTTTTCCCGGAAAGTTGTGCGCCCTCAGCATGCGCTTAAATAAAGGTGTAATCTAAGAGATTTTATAGAAAATGTGCCTTTTTTAGTGTCAAAAAATGAGATAAAGTTTATCAGCAAACTTTTGTCCTGCCATATACTTTTTTTCGTTTTTTTTTATTTTTAAGTTGAATTTTACGATTTTTTTTATTTTTTTTATTTTTTTTTTACCGTCTCAAGAAGTTAGAGAGAATCATTTCGAAAAGAAAAATTTGTACTTAAATCTTTTATATCAAGTAATTTAGTACTAATTTGGATTTTTCTACGGTATTTGTTTTCTAATTCCTCATAGTTACAATTTAATACATCCAACGCATTGGTCTGATTACTAGACATACTTTTAATTGCTGGTTTGGAACTTAAGGTAGTTGTTCCCTAAATTAAAAGTATCTAAAAAGGTACGAAATTGTCAGTAAAACTAACATGAGCGTCGAGAAATATGTATAAAAAATTTGAGACCAATGTACCACGTCGTTATTGATATATCCTCGTCAAAAAATCACTCTTTTAACATTGGTGCAATGGTGCAAACACTACATAACCCCAAAATTTTAAAAAGTGTAACTTATAGCATACCTATAAATAAATAAAAAAACTACTGAAAACTACCTCAGACAGTAAAGAAACACATACATCTTTTTAAGAATTTTTTATACATAGTTTTAAAGTAATAGTAATCAAAAAAGTGCTCTTTGTTTGATTTTGGAAGATAACCAAGTAAGTATCGCATATGTGGCAACGTCGCATTGTCACATGAGTTAAAGTAGATAGATGTTTATGTTTATGTATGTATAAGCATACGCAAAGGCATTCACTTTTCACTCTGATATTTTGCATTCAAGATGATGTATGTACATTGTATATCTATATATAAGATTGACCTATATATTAGGAAACAAGTACCTTAAGTCAAGATTTCCATTTTGGCACATATGTTATCTTACTAATATATGAAGCAAAGTCGCTAAAACCGTTGTAATCGCTAACCGCGAAAAATACTGAACCGATTTTGCTGAAATTTTGCACACTGATTCATGATACTTCCTAGATGGTTTTAGTGTAGTTTTTATCTTAAAAAATTTAATAACAATAGCAATAAATGAGCTCAAAATTTTGCAAAAATACGCCAGCTTTTTACTTTAGTTCAGTAAAATCCGCTAGGTGGCATCGACATAAAATCGAGGCTACCTGCAACATAATTAAATAAGTGTGGTTATAATAGGCCGGAGCGTCTTAATAGTGATGTAGTCGAGCTTCGGCAGTTCAACAAGCCGTATGGAGAATAATGACGATAGTCTTGCAGCTGGGTATCCCGGTTACGGATGATACTCTTCTCTACAGGGGAAGGGACCTAGGTGTCCATTCACCCTGAATTTCTACGAGTGCGATCAAAAAAAAAATTAATTCCAACCAATGACGTCTCTGGCATAATGCCTGGAGACATATCTAGCCAGAGCACAATCTGCACCAACTCTTCATAGCAGTCCCACCATTCCACATGGTGCAGTTAAAGAATTTTTAGCTACAAATATAAGCCAGGGAAAACAGCTCTAAGGGGCACGGGCAGCCACAACGGCTACCTTCTTGGTCGCGTCCCCAACGCGCTTACCCACATGTTCCCGTTCAACAATGAGCGGTTGGTTATCCGGGGAACGACCCGAAGACGAGATATTCTTTGGTCAGCGGCGTACCTCCCTCCATCACAGTCTCCGTACACAGAGACTTCGAGGGTAAGAGTCAAGCTACCCACAGCCAGCTTTTCATCATCAGGAATAATAATAAGGAATAGCTGGAAGTTTTACCACTGGCCCTTTTTAGGGCCATTATAAGTATTCACGTTCCCTACTTAACCATCAATCTCATCGATTCTTTTAAGGGCCACCTAAGTTTAAACTACCTTGTGAACAAATAAATTTTTACTACAATTTCCGGAAGTGATTTATCGACTAAAAGACTATATTAACTAAAGACGGCCACTATTAAACCAAGTCAGTCATTCTCTGGCAGTTATCACGAGCAGAGTTGTTCTTCGCAAGGCTGGGAACCCCGTCGACCGACGACCCTACATTACCCTCTTGACTCTGAGCATTCAACTAGGAATCACTGATCCTCTCCAAGATCTGCGCTGGGCGAACCTAACAGCTATGAAGGAAAAAAAAACTTGAGCCAACGAAAGTCTCCAACAGGCAAGCATCACGAACCAATCTCTACTAATCTCTCTACCTTAGATCATCAAAACAACTGAGTCTGCAAAATAAAGGTGCTTTAGACACCAACGTCTTCGACGTTATACCAGGAGACGTTGGGAAAGATCACTACAACTAGCTCCAAAGCTTCGGACTTTGTAATTTTTCTCCCGATCAGTCTGGGTCTTCAACAGCAGGCCAGAGAAGATCACCCTGAAGTATCCAGGCAGTCACAATTGCTGTTAACTGCAGTCAAGAAAGAGTTAACTAGAGAAGCTCACCGGTCTTTTTTAGGGCCATTGGACGTCGAACTACCTTGCCAACAAATACATTAGAACTTAAGAAAGTTGACAGANGGCTAATTTATCTGCCCTGGAAATTTTACTCACATTCTCTCACGATGAGATGAATACTGGGGTAATACGAACTAAGAACATGCGAGTGTGCGAGTGCGTTACTTTTCCCGGAAAGTTGTGCGCCCTCAGCATGCGCTTAAATAAAGGTGTAATCTAAGAGATTTTATAGAAAATGTGCCTTTTTTAGTGTCAAAAAATGAGATAAAGTTTATCAGCAAACTTTTGTCCTGCCATATACTTTTTTTCGTTTTTTTTTATTTTTAAGTTGAATTTTACGATTTTTTTTATTTTTTTTATTTTTTTTTTACCGTCTCAAGAAGTTAGAGAGAATCATTTCGAAAAGAAAAATTTGTACTTAAATCTTTTATATCAAGTAATTTAGTACCAATTTGGATTTTTCTACGGTATTTGTTTTCTAATTCCTCATAGTTACAATTTAATACATCCAACGCATTGGTCTGATTACTAGACATACTTTTAATTGCTGGTTTGGGGCTTAAGGTAGTTGTTCCCTAAATCAAAAGTATCTAAAAAGGTACGAAATTGTCAGTAAAACTAACATGAGCGTCGAGATATATGTATAAAAAATTTGAGACCAATGTACCACGTCGTTATTGAAATATCCTCGTCAAAAAATCACTCTTTTAACATTGGTGCAATGGTGCAAACACTACATAACCCCAAAATTTTAAAAAGTGTAACTTATAGCATACCTATAAATAATTAAAAAACTACTGAAAACTACCTTAGACAGTAAAGAAACACATACATTTTTTTGAGAATTTTTTATACATAGTTTTAAAGTAATAGTAATCAAAAAAGTGCTCTTCGTTTGATTTTGGAAGATAACCAAGTAAGTATCGCGTATGTGGCAACGTCGCATTGTCACATGAGTTCAAGTAGATAGATGTATATGTTTATGTATGTATAAGCATACGCAAAGGCATTCACTTTTCACTCTGATATTTTGCATACAGGATGATGTATGTACATTGTATATCAATTATACAAGATTGACCTATATATTAGGAAACAACTACCTTAAGTCAAGATTTCCATTCTGGCACATATGTTATCTTACTAAAATATAAAGCCAAGTCGCTAAAACCGTTGTAATCGCTAACCGCAAAAACTACTGAACCGATTTTGCTGAAATTTTGCACACTGATTCATGATACTTCCTAGATGGTGTTAGTGTAGTTTTTATCTTAAAAAATTTAATAACAATAGCAATAAATGAGCTCAAAATTTTGCAAAAATACGCCAGCATTTACTTTAGTTCAGTAAAATCCGCTAGGTGGCGTCGACATAAAATCGAGGCTACCTGCAACATAATTAAATAAGTGTGGTTATAATAGGCCGGAGCGTCTCAATAATGATGTAGTCGAGCTTCGGCAGTTCAACAAGCCGTATAGAGAATGCTGGCGATAGTCTTGCAGCTGGGTATACCGGTTACAGACGATACTCTTCTCTACGGGGGAAGGGACCTAGGTGTCCATTCACCCTGAATTTCTACGAGTGCGATCAAAAAAAAAATTAATTCCAACCAATGACGTCTCTGGCATAATGCCTGGAGACATATCTAGCCAGAGCACAATCTGCACCAACTCTTCAGAGTTGAGTGGAAGTCCCACCATTCCACATGGTGCAGTTAGAGAATTTTTAGCTACAAATATAAGCCAGGGAAAACAGCTCTAAGGGGCACGGGCAGCCACAACGGCTACCTTCTTGGTCGCGTCCCCAACGCGCTTACCCACATGTTCCCGTTCAACAATGAGCGGTTGGTTATCCGGGGAACGACCCGAAGACGAGATATTCTTTGGTCAGCGGCGTACCTCCCTCCATCACAGTCTTCGTACATCGAGACTTCCAGGGTAAGAATCAAGCAACCCGTAGCCAGCTCTTCATCATCAGGAATAATAATAAAGAATAGCCTGAAAGTTTCACCACTGGCGCTTTTTAGGGCCATTATAAGTACTTACGTTCCCTACTTAACCATCAATTTCATTGGTTCTTTTTAGGATCCACCTAAGTGTAAACTACCTTGCCAACAAATACCTTTTGTACTACAATTTCCGGAAGCGATTCGTCGACTAAAAAACTATATTAACTTAAGACGGGCACTATTAAACCAAGTCAGTCATTTACTGGCTGACGTCGTGAGCAGAGTTGTTTTTCGCAAGGCTAGAAAACCGGTGACCGACGACCCAATACTACCCTCTCGACTCTAAGCATTCAACCAGGAATCACTGATCCTCTCCAAGGTCTGTGCTGGGCAAACCTATAAGAGCTATAAAGGAAAAAAAACTTGAGCCAACGGGATATGTAGCCTCCACTGGACAAGTATCACTAACCAATCTCCCCATCTAAGATCAGCAAAACAACTGAATCTGCAAATAAAAAAGGTGTTTTAGACACCAACGTCTTCGACGTTATACTGGGAGACGTTGGGAAAGAGCACTAGAACTAGCCCCAAAGCTTCGGACTTTGTAATTTTTCTCCCGTTCAGTCTGGGTCTTCAACAGTAAGTCAGAGAAGATCACCCTGAGGTATTCAGGCAGTCACAATTGCTGTAAACTTTAGTCAAGAAAGAGTTTACTTAAGAAGCTCACCGGTTTTTTTTAGGGCAATCGGACGTCGAACTACCTTGCCAACAAATATATTATATAGAACTTAACAAAGTCGACAGAAAACAGCTTTTAGGGGTCACAAAAATTTTAAGCATGCCAAAAGTCGCAAGAGGGTGAACTGGAAGAAAAACTTCAAATGTATCTAATAAATAAAATTTTACTTAGGTGTCAAGAAACTGACGCAGAAAATTTATCGAGATTGAAACAGCAGCGTCAAAATCGACAAATAAAGAATCCATTACGTGAGAGATCAGCTTTTCATTGTACCCTCACAGCAATCTCTGAAATCTTTAAAGATCCTACTTCAGATTTTTTAATGAGTAGAAAATGTATTTGTGTTTTTGTGGCAATAAAAATGTAGGGTTTAAGGTCCAGGACTTTGTTGCTCTGGTAATAAAGTTGTGAGATATGAGAAAAAAAATTTTTTTTTAATATAAATTTTTTGGGGGTTTAAAATCTTAACAGCTTTAAAAAATAGCCGTTTTCGTGAATTACACGGGAGAAACTGTAAATCAACGGCTTCTTATGGCCACCGATTATTTTATGGCATAAAGAACGCACGGCACTTTTCAGTATAATTATTTTTTTAAATTTTTACACCTTATTATTTGACCGAATAAACTATACGGATTCCGAAAAAATATGTTTTTAATAAGAAGATTTTTGTTCTAAGATGTATCAGGAATATGTGTAAAATTTCTAACTGATAATGTTTCACATTACATGTCAACACACTACGGTGCTTTATTTAGTAAGTCTCGGGCGAAGCCGAGACGGGGGGCTGTTTGTTATACAGTGGATAAATTAATTAACCAAATATTATTTTGACTAATGATAACCTACCTGATTTTCTCGGGTGGCAAGGAAGTGGCCAGCTACGTGAGCGGGCAAAAGATTTTCTAGCAGTACCTTGTTGACGCCCCTAATAGTTTCCACTTGTTCCTGCTCAACTTTGAGCTTGTTCTTCCACAAAAAGTCTGTCCGTGATGTGTACTCGATTCTACGATCGAAGACGTGTAATACGAGGATCAAGAGTCCCAGTAGAAAGCCTATCTGGACGAGATAATTCACTTGGTGAAATCTGTAATAAGCAATTACATATAAGTTGTAATTATCTTTTATAGATGTGTAATTATTTGGATGATAGTCAAAATTCTAACTCATTCCTGGGGTCCATGTAATAACTTCGTAGGATCTCAAATTGAGAGAACACAATGAGTAGCGAGATGATGGATAAGGTCATCATGCCGAGCTTTAGAACCGAGCCCACCCTTAAATTTACCCATCCAATTACTAAAGCAATGGCTGCGCACTCAACGTACATCTACAATAGTTCCAGCTTTGTTATGTTTCGAATTTTTAGCTTTTCATTAATAATCGGGAAAAAAACTTTTAACTTATACAGGCGCAATGTTGCTTTCCCACTTAGGTTCAATATCGATCAGAGTGACGATGCTAGAAGTGACGGCCAAATTTACAGTTACGAGATAGACGACGATCCTTATGGCTCGACTAAGAAATATTCTTTCCTCACCAGTGGGATTAGACTTTCTTGAGTCGACTGTAATTCGGCTCGCCCACCATGAGATGGCCGACAGTATTGAAAGACATATTAAGCCACCCGTGAAGCAGCCATAGACCGTTATGCTCCTGTTTTTATCAAAAATTTAATTATGAATGTTAATAAATGCTGGGAAATAAGTTACTAAAAATTAAAAATACTTCTATTCTGATTACGATAAAATCGAACTTTTTTTTTGTAACTACAGCTAAGGATTTTAATTTCATAGGAGTAGATATTATAAGGAGTAAAATTTATAACATGCTGCATCAATCTTGCAGATAAAGAAGGTAAATTTGATTACTAGCGAGTTGAACGTAACTTTGTTCATTCGCTCGTGACTTTGTAAGGACTTTGACTTACACGCGCTCTCACAAGTAAAAACTTCATACTACTCGGTCTTTACAGAGAGCTAATTCAATTTTGGGTTGAAGAAACAACAAACTATAATTGTGATCGAGGAAAAAGCTTATTCAGAGATATTGTGTACTACAATTTATTACATGTCCTGACTTTTTTATCTACAATGATAAAATTAATGCCCAAACAAAAACAAAAAGTTCGCACATGGTGCACTTCTAGCTAGGACAAGCAGCACAAGTATGTGTGTATATCTTCTTGTATTACACAGTGATTTTGGTGGATTTTACAATAAGCCCCCCCCCCCTCCCCACAAACCCACAATGTTGCCCTGCAACCCCCTCCCCCATAAAACAAGAAAAAATTCGTTCAATTTTTCCTATATTTTAATTAAGTTAACTTTTCTAAATCCCCCACTACCCCCATAATAACCCTCACACAATTTTCTAGTTCCCCCACATGCCCTCTACAGAATAAAGGTAAAATCATTTAATTTCTTTTATATTTTCGTTAGGGTCAAATTTTTAAGCCCAGAACTACCCCTAAACCCCCCACGATTTTTTAATACCCACAGGCTTTCCACAATATATTAGTTTATTATAATTAAATGCACCACCCGGACTCTCCCACCAAATAAAGAAAAATTTGATTAGTTTCTCCCTTATTTTAATTGAGTGAGATTTTCTTATATTTCCTCACTACTCTACCTACAGCATTTACAACCCACTTGAAGATTTACGTTATACATATGTATATTTTGAAAGTTTATAAAAGAAAAAAATTTAATTTTTTAACACGTGTTTATTACGGTAGTTAGTTTTGTTAAATCAATTCAAAGTTTTTTAACATAATTTCTATTTCTATACGTAATTTTTTTGCATATTTCACACGTATTGTGATTCTTAAATTTTTAATGGATTGATAATTTAGATAACTAAGTAATTATTATTTCATGATGTAATAAAAATGTAATAAGATATCAAACAACTAATTAACTAATTGAACATGAACTTTGTGATCCTCGCCAGTATCCCTACGTGCTTCGAGAAGACAGACATCCTCTATCTCTCTTTAATGAAATATAATAATCATGATACTTCAGTAAACTTTCCCTTCTGTCTTTTACTTATACCTCCCACGACGAACAATGAAAAAAACAAATTTGTAATAAATTAAATAAAACTTGATTTAATAATACATGATATCAATTTAAAAAAGAGCACTAGAACTAGCCCCAAAGCTTCGGACTTTGTAATTTTTCTCCC